CTTTAAGTTCGTTCTTTATTATCATCATTACTTCAAGCTCGCTAGTTAGCGGCAAATTGTTTATGCTGTTAGTACCCAGATTACATGTTTCAACACTATTCTGACTACCAGAAATAGAGAATACTTTTGTTAAATTCTCAGAAAAAACTGTAGCTTTTTCTTTATCACTATTGGCCCATTGGCTAGTACAGGTCTTTATTGGTGCGTTTTGTGAGGCTGGACGTTTTATATTTCGAGTGCATTTCCACAAGGAGTAATCTGTGCTGCGATCATTTGTCAAACCAGATAAGTATGAATGGAATTGATTATTTTTAAAGCGTTTGATCTCAGAGGTAAGTTCTTTAGTCAGCTTATTTAAAATAGCTTTATCTGCTGGGGATCTCGAATGTTGCCACTTTTTCCTTATTTTACGTTTTTTTTTATAGTAGTTCTAATATGGCTGTTGGATATCTATGCGGATAGTTTGATTTCTTCCATATAGGACTGCTTAACCACGCGGCTTGTTAAAGCTTTTTTTGTAAGGTCTATAATTTCGAACTCCACATCGTCTTCACCGTAAATTTCAGTAGAAGCCGAAATATTATTAGAAAGGAATGTTCTAAAGTAATTCCAATCAGTTGACTTATTGACAATTTTAGTCGCCACGTTGTTAACAATAGGAGAGCCATTTTTGGCCATCACTTTATTTCGTTGGAGTTTTTCATTCTTCTCTTGAATTATTTTATTTCTTTGCTTTTGGAGCTCCAAAAGCTACACAACCTCTGTAATTGGCTGGATGTTCTTCCCCGTAGTTGCAGTATTTAGGTTGTTGCTGATCAGCCTTTCTGCATTCTATTGTCTTATGGCTAGTGAAATATCGTTGGGCCTGTGACAGCAAATAGTCATCAAGCCGTTTGATATTGGCGGAGTTATAGATAAATTGGACTGAGTAATGTTTGGCGTTTGGCTTGCACTTGTAATTAATACAGTCGCTAAGGATCTTTCGTTTAAACGTACGAAGGTGTTCTATCTGAGCCGAGGAGATACCTGACCAGATGGGAGAGTAGTAAGTGAGAAGGGGTCGAATAAGTTGCTTATAGCACAGGAGTTTAACTTGAACGTTAAGCTGGTTGTGGCGTCGTAACGCGTTTTTAAGGCTCAGATGGCGATGGGGACACATTCTTGACAATGTGGTCAACGTGGGGATTGAAGTTATGTTTGGGGGAAAACATAACTCCAAGATATTTGAACTTATTGACAAGTTTGATAGGGGATCCATTAAGCATAAGCTTAATGTTAGAGGGGTTGTAACTCCTAGGGCGATTGTGAGCGCTGCCAGTGAAGGCAATAGCAGAGACTTTGAGGGGGTTGAGTTTGAGCTTCTACTTATGGTAGAAGCTAGAAAGATTTCCTAAATGCTGGTTTAAGGAGTTTGA